TGCTGAATTTGGGGATGAACATATGCTTAGGGAACCATTGCCAATAATGGCACAGACATATCCATACCCTCCCTAAGGGAACTCTTCCCATCTTCATTGCTCTTGTTGCCCATCTTATGTGCTACAATAACACTTAACAGAAGATCTAGGCTCTTAGAATATTTTATCTATTCAATGCCATATGGTTAGTTACAGGCACTATACTGTATATATGGAATTTGCCTCACTCCTAGTTTATTTTTTTAAAAGCAAATCAATATTAGTGGTTTCGAAGGGGCAACAAGTAGAAGACATATACTAAATATATACCAGGTTCTACTGTGCCATCCTATCTCTGTTGTTGTTACTTTTAATATTATATATAAAACATAAAAATGAGATGGATCAATTGCCTCTAGATACCACCAGTGCACTTAAACAGTAATTAGGGAACTCTACAATAGAAATTATTTGATATTTTCTTGGAATTTCTTTCAGTATAGTGACAGATCATTAAAATGCATAAGCGCAGTAGTTAAGATTTAGATTTTTTTTGAGTGAAAATTTTAGGGAACGTTTCCTGAAGAAGTTCATTTCTTGTGTTGTCAGGGTAGATAGCCTCTTCATACTACACAGGATTGATGTAATAAGACCAAATACCCACTGAGGGGCGACCGTAGAAGCCATGTCTATGCAGTCTCTAACATCAGGACTTACACAGGAGCAGACACAGACTGTTCCTCCCAAAGAGACTGGCATGATCTCCACCTGTGCTCATCTCTGTCTTAATTCTCTGGAGTATTGCTTATCAGTCTTTTAACCTCTGCTGTATTTCTCCCATGTAATCCTTCCAAACTTGCCTGCCTTCCCATCTTCCTTGAAGAAGAGCCTTCCCCCAAGCTTGGTGATCTACTTCTATTTTAAACAATTTCCTCCACTTTCTCAAGTTCCATGTTCAAAATCTGCTTCAGGAATCTGTCGTGGCCTCCACTGATTCTCTCCCAAGTATATTGCAATAACACCCACCACACACAGTCCCTTACAGGAGAGGGTGCTTACACTTCCGTGTTCTTTTACTGCACAAACTGGATAAGAGATGTTTCATCCATCCTCCTGGAAGCTCTTTGATAGGCATTCCACCAGTTATCCGCCTCTGACAACATCTCCCTGCCCTGCATTCATCTCTGCAGCATCTAATCTTGAGCTTCGACTTTGCCCTAACCGCACTATCCTCTCTAACTGGCAGCACCTTGGCTTCAATACACAGCTGAAGACTTAGCCAATCCTCAGGTGACATCTTTTGTCACAACTTCATTATGAAGTTGAAGCTACCCATGTCGCAGAACACCCTAGATTTTGTATTTCATTATCCAAATCATGCTGCGATTGGAAACTCCTGGATCCCCATCTCTGACCGCAACCTTACTTGCTATCCCCCTTATTCTCTTATTTCACTCATACCTGTGCTTTGTCCCCACGGGGACACTGGGTCCTTCACTTTTCTTCCATTCCTTCTGTTTTTATTTCTTTCCTAGAGAACCACACGGTTTTCATTTCATCTCCTATGCTACTCACCTGTCCTGGTACACTTTCGTTGCTGTGATAAACACCATTACTACCAAAAGCAACTTGGAGAGAAATGGGTATATTTAGCTTATAGCTCACAGTCTACTCATTAAGGGAAGTCAAAGCAGGAACCTGGAAGAAGGAGCTGAAGCAGAGACTATGGAGGAATGCTGCTTACTGGCCTGTTTTCCCTGGCTTGCTTAGCCACCTTTCTTATATAGCTCAGGCTCACCTCCCCAGGGGTGACACTGCCTACAGAGCACTGGACCTTCCAACATCAGTTAGGAATTAAGAAAATGACTCACAGACACGCCCACAGGACAACCTTGTCTGGGAAATTCTTCAGTTGAAGTTCTTTATTCAAGTGACTCAAGTTAGTGTCAAGTTGAAAGAAACTAACACCCCTATCTCTTATTCCCTTGTCTGTCAGTTCTCCCACTCTGAATAAAACCCTGAATCAGGATCAGTTTGAGCCTTGCCTTTCTCCCTTCTTCTTCAAAGTCTAAGACAGCTATATCTCTCCAAGTTGATGTCACTAAAAATCCAGACTTAAGATTCAACTGAAATTGTTGCATCTATTTGTTATTATTATTAGTTTATTATATTTGGCTTTCTCTTTCCTTTTCTACTTAAGTTTCCCAATGTACCATCTCATCATTAGCCTGGATTTCCAATGACTTTCCACTTCCCCAGAAAGACAGAAATCAGTGGAACCCTGTTCCTGTCACTGGCATCTTATTTCTGTTTTGAAAATTTATCATGAAACATCACTATTGCTTTATGTTTTTTTGTTTCTGCTTCTTAAATTTTTTTGTATTATTTGTTTTTCTTATTTTGCATTTGTGTACATATGTGCCTGTGTATAAATGTCATATCCATGCCAGTGAAAATTTAGTATTAATAGCATTTTGTTACAGGGAACAAAGTTCCAGGAAAGGGGAATTTATGAGTAATTCCATAAGTTTCTTGACATCTACATAGATATTTATAGCCAGTATATACACAGAATCAATTCCTTTTCAGAAAAGTTTATGTGTGGGTGGACTTAATTTTTATTAACCCAACCCATTTTAATGTGTTAGGAGAATATTCTAGGTACCTAAGAGAACTCAAGAATATAACAGATTAATTTTTAAGTGAAAATGCTTTTGTAATAAACATAATTGAACTGTAATTTTCTGCTTTTTAAATTTATTTATATATGGGATTTCCTAAAGTGTAGCACAGTTGAATTTGTGCATCTTGTTTATATGATGAATGGGTTTCTATATGTCAATCTACTTTTCTGTATATACATAGCCATATAATTTGTGAAAGAAAGTTCTCATTAAAAACAAAAGCAAAAACAAACAAACAAAAAAAAACTACTGTACCTTGGACTGAATTTTCTGTAAGGCTCACCAACTAATTAGCACTCCAGAGATTTTGGAGAGTCTGGAATGCTGCAAGTCTGGAGCCTATTCACAGATTATCTGGGGATATCTTTAACCCCATAAACAGCCAAACATTGCCTACCTCTGCTTCTGAATTAACAGTCTTGTATTAACTTAGCAGACCACTGGGTCTCACCAATCAAAAAACTAAGAATGCCATCAGATAGCATCTGAGACCTATAGTAGAAACCCCCTCACTTTCCCATGACCTGCCTACCGAATATACCCACCAATGTATTTGAAAGGTGTCTTGATTTATGACTTTTCCTTGTTCTGTTACTATAAAAACATAATGTAACTGTTACCACACCAGAACATGGAATTTGGGGTAACCTGAATCTGTGTTCCTGGGCCATGGTCACTCATATTTGGCTCCAGAAAAAAACGATCTCTTATCCCCTTTGAGGTGTTATGATTTTGAGTCAATAAATTCCAATATAACTTTTTCACAATGATAAAAATGTCTTTGGAATTTATTAAAATATTTAAGAATTAGGTCTGGTGAGATGGCGCAGTGGGTAAAAGCATTTTCCACATATGTTTGACTTGAGTTCAATCCCCAGAACCCAAGGTAAAAGGAAAGAACTAACTTCTGAAAACTGTTGTCTGACTTCTATATATGTGCCTTAGAATGCATGCACCCGCATGTACACACATACACATCTTACATATACACAATGATTAAAAATAAATTAAAAAATTAAAAGTTAAGTATTAACAGCATCACTTAATATGCAGTAGTTGCTATTCTAAACTCTGATCAGGTATTTTGGATGCAAAGAATTAAGCACAAAACATAGCTACTACTGATTTGGTGTCTTCTTTTATATTTCCATTCTATTTTTAACTATTAGAAAAGATTTTTGTTTTTTTTTTCCTATATATGTGTGTCTGTGTCTGTGTGAGTGCCTACCCTGTGTGTGCAGGTGCTTTTAGGGGTCAGAAAAGAGTGTCAGATCCTCTGGAGATGTAGTTCTGGTAGTTGTGAGCCATTTGATGTGGATGTTGGGAATTGAGCTCAGGTCTTCTGGGAGAACAGTAAGTGCTCTTAACTGCTGAGCCATTTCTCTAATCCTAGTTCTATTTTAATTTTAATTGACACATAATCACTATAAAGATGTATGGGTATTGTCTCAGTTTCTTTTCTCTGCTGTGATAAAACACTGTGACCAAGGGAACTTATAAAAGGAAGCTCTAATTTGAGCTTATGGTTCCAGGGATATTAAAGTCCATCATGGTTGGGAGGGATGGTGGCAGGAGGTGGCCAGAGCAGGATTAGAAAGCAGAGGCTCACATTTTCAAGCAGAAACAGGAATCAGAGCAAGGCTTAAGAAATCTCTAAGCCTGCCTCCTAGGGACTTGCTTCCTCTAGCATGACCACACCTTCTATTAGCTCCCAAAACAGCATCACCAACCAGGGACAAAACATCCAAATATAATTGGAGTATGAGGGACATTCTCATTTAAACCACCACAGGTATCATGTAATGTTGTTATTCATGTACACATGTATAATGCTTAAATCAGTGCAATTAGTGTATCTGTCCTCTCAGCATTTGCCCTCTGTGTGAGTTGGCGTCCTTAGTCCAGGTTTTAACTCCTCAGTCTCCAGTGAAGTTATTATTGTACTAGCTTTCTGTTTCCGTCCAGCTTCCCCCTTGGGTTATTGAGCTGGCTTGCATATTTATAATCTTCTGAATTTGTGCTTGCTTATATCACTAGGAAACAGACTAATGCAACACCAGAAAGGGAGAGAAAATAAGTAGTGGGTAGGAAAACAGCAATATCTGGAGAAAGACCCAGGGAACAAAGGTTACCTTGGCAACGTGACATACCATGGGAATGATTGCTCAGGCTCATGGGGACAGGAAATGAAATGGAAAACACAGTGGCCAAAGGAATCACTTAAGAAGCAGACAGTGAGTCAGCTTAGGAAGCAGGCAAGTAATTAATGCACTAAATTAATTTTCACATTTGTAAAAAGCCCTTGACCACTGCTGTGCACTCCAGGAAGCTGCTTACCTCTGCAAGATAGAACTCGTCGTATTGCCTTCGGAAGTTTTCTCCTTTGTAGTAGTTGCTAGCTGCGACTATCACGTCCACAGTCACCATGCTCAGGATAAACATGTGGAAAACTGAGGATCGCATCATTTTCTGAAAAGGCAAAACCAATAACTTCTTTACGACAACTACTTCATGACTATGTGTAATGTGTGTGCTGAGATCTTGAGAGACATTTGATACACAGCTGTGAACAACAATCCTTCTAAGACGACACGATCGGTGTCCCTTTTACTGAATAGTGAGAACAAAAGAATCCATCTGTTCAAGCAACTGAAAGATGGCAATGGACACAGTTTCAGAGAACTTCAGGTAAAAATGGAGAACATTTAGCTGGGCGTGGTGGCTCATGCCTTTAGTACCAACACTCGGGAGGCAGAGGCAGGTGGATCTCTGTGAGTTCAAGGCCAGCCTGGTCTACATAGTGAATTCTAGGACAGCTGGGGCTACAGGGAGACCCTGTCTCAAAAAGACAAAAAAAAAAACAAAAAAATCTGCATGTGTCTTAAACATTGGTCAGGTGGGTCACTTTGACTTTGAATTCTAACCATATAGAAAAATGGCTTTCAAAAAGGTGATTCTGCAAAGCAAGCATCACTTTATCTGTATTCAAAAGAGAGAATGAAAACATTTTACAGATGGTTATAAAACTGAAAAAGGTGGGATAAAATGAAAATTTATGTTCTAGTTTGTTTCTCCATTGCTATGACAAAATACTCTGACCAGTATCAACTTGGGGAGGAAAGGGTTTATTTGGCTTACATTTCCCAGGTCATCAGGCAGCCCAAGGTAGGAACTCAAACCAGGAACCTGGAAGCAGGAACTGGAGCCCAGGCCATGGAGGAATGCTGCTCACTGGCTTGCTCCCCTGGCCACGGCTCAACCTGCTTTTCTGTATAACACAGGCCCACCTGCCCAGTGATGGTACCACCCACAGTGGGCTGGTCCTTCTCACATCACTCAACAATCAAGAAGATGCCCCAAAGACATGGTCATTGGCCAGTTCAATGGAGGCAATCCACTAATTAAGGCTCCCTCTACCCAGTTTGTCAAGATGGCAGATAAAACTATCCAGCACATTTGACCCCTTGTCAACTTGGTACACAAACACATTACTATTAAACCACAACTTTTTCATTTATTGTCCTCAAGATAAGATGTTAACAATATCACAAGGTAAGACAATACAACCTTAAAAGTCCCACAGTCCTTAAAAATCCAAACACTTAAAAGTTCATAGTCTCTTTTAAAAGTCTCTTAACCTGGGCTCCTATAAAATCCCAAACAAATACTATCTTATTTCAAAAGGTAGAATTGGGCATACCTAAGCAAACGTAAGTCCAACAAAGTAGCTCAAGGATGGCCATCTGGGTTTCATTCACAATCTTCTGGCCTCCAAAAGGATTTTGGCAGCACCACTTCTCTGGCTCTGCCATCCACAGCACACATAGCTCATCCCACAAGCTCCACTCCACATCTCTTCCTGCCCTTGGTGGTTGTCCCAAAGTACAACATCTCCAAAAAGCTGAGGTCTCTACTGAAACTGAGGCTGTACCTTCACCAGTGACCTCTTCTGGTCTCTCAGGGTGCAAAGCCTCAGATTCTATCCATTACCCCTCAATCCTGGGGTCTTCACTGAAACTGAGGCTTCACGTTCAGTAATGGCCTTTCCTGACCTCTCAGAGTGCCAAGCCTCAGCTGCTGTCTATGACCCCTTCATGCTTTCAACACCAGAACCATGTAGGAGACTCTTACACATTACCAAGCCCTGGTTCCAGCTTGAGATGGAGGCTCAGGCCCCCTCTGGACCACAGCTTCTGTGCTGACCCTAAGGAGATACTTCCCAGAAGATTTTAACACAGCGATGCTGGTTTCTTGTTACTTACAGCTAATTTTTCAGCCCCAGCTAACCAGCATCAATTGTCCCAGTAAAGCAAAGGTTTCACTTTGGTGGTTCTGATCTCTTAATCACAGCTGATTCTTCTGCCCCAGCTGACCAGAAACTACAGATTCTCAATTCAAAATATTCCATAAACAGCCCCCATAGTCTCTACTTCCCTTTTACGCATCAAAAGCTAGGCCTCCATCACCTACAACTCTTTCAGCATAATTGTTCCAAGCTCCACAACAATAAACTCTAAGCACTCAATGGCTTTTCTAGTTCAAAGTTCCAAATGCTTCCACAATCCTCCTAAAAACACCAAGGTCAGGTCTGTTACAGCAATGCCCCACAATCTTGGTACCAGTTTCTGTTCTAATTTGTTTCTCCATTGCTATGACAAAATACTCTGATCAGTATTAACTTGGGGAGGAAAGGGTTTATTTGGCTTACATCTCCCAGGTCACAATTCATCAGGGAGCCCAAGGTAAGAACTCAGAGAAAGAACCTGGAGGCTGGAGCTGGAGCACAGCCCATGGAGGAACACTGCTTACTGGCTTGCTCTTCTGGCTGCTGCTCAACCTGCTATCTTATATGACACAGGCCCACCTGCCCAGGGGTGGCACCACACATAATAGGTTGAGTCCTCCCACATCACTCAACAATCAAGAAGATGCCCCACAGAGATGGTCAAAGGCCAGTGCAATGGAGACAACTCACCAATTGAGGCTCCTTCTACCTAGGTGTGAAGTTGACCCTAAAGCTATCCAGAACAATTTATTTTTCACTTTTTGTTTTCAGAAATATTTGCTAAAAGTAGCATTGCAACTAATACAATATAATAATTATTAATTTTTTTATTGTTTTGGAATTGTTCTAGTACTTTATGCCCATCAACTGAATTAAAATTCATACTGGTGGGGCTGGAGAGGAGAGATGGCTCAGTGGTTAGGAGCACTGACTTCTCTTGCAGAGAACCTGGAATCTATTCCCAGCACCTACATGGTGACTAACAATCATCTGTAACTCCAGTTCCAGGGGAATCCAACATCCTCTTCTCACCTCCACAGGCATTGAACAACACGGATGCATTTACACACATTCAGGCAATACACTCATACACATAAAACAAAATAAATAATAAATAAAATATTTTTAAAAATTCACACTGGTCCTAGGATGTTATTCTAATTTCATAGATAAGGAAACTGAAGCTCTGAGAGGTTGATTTTCTTTACCATCACAAAGTATTAAAGCTGAATTCAAGATTTGGAATTAAATTTGGTTCAAGTTTACCGCCTGTATTGAAGTGGAGTTAACTGAGTATCTTTTAAAATGAACACCATTACTATAGCTGTCATGCATTGGATGTTTACTATAGTGCAAGTCATTTTATGCATACACTATTCACTGCATGTCTCTTAATCTCCATCACAGCACCACATGGTAGGACACATGACTTGTGTTGTACAGAGTTCAGAGAACTTATTTGCCTAAGATCACACAGCAAGAAAGCAGCAGAACCAAGCTCTGCGGTTAAATCTGTTTAGAGTCCATTCTATGATTTTTACCCTGTTGTGAGCTAAAGATCATCAAAGGGGAGAAAGCAGAGGATGAGGGCTCTGGACAACAGAAGAGCCAACTGCACAGGGCCAATGCCAACACGAATTTTCCTCCTCTTCCTCCTCCTTTGAATTCTAGAGAAGTTTATTATAGATTCATAGGTATGAACTTGAGAGAGGAGAGAGAGAGAGAGAGAGAGAGAGAGAGAGAGAGCATTTGAATGAAGCATGGAGATCAACCACATGGCAGACAAGCAAGTGCTTGGCAAAAAGTGGTGGAGGAAGTGGGACTTCAGAGAAAGGAAACCCAGGGCATCAGAAAGGTATGCTTAGACTCTGGCCAGCCTCCAAAAGAAAGAGAAGGGAAAAAAGGTCAGGACTCAGAAAGAGACTGCTACATATTCTCTTTTTTTTCCACATCTTTATGGACAAGTTACATGCCCTTGCCCTTTGTTCTGACCTGGAGATTCTTCAGTCTTAGCAACTAAAAATAACTTAGATAAAGCCCATGCAGAGATTGGGATATAGTGTAGCTGATTTGGAGATGCAGACCATCGCCTTACCCCACAATCCTCCATAATAGAATTAGCTTGGAGCCAAATTGTCTGGAGTTGAAACTGCCCATTTCCTGGTGCTGTGCCCTTGGGCAAGTTACTTAAACCTCTGTGCCTCAGTTTCTCCTCAGTGAAGCAGACACAAGAATACTTACTCCAAAGGGATGCTGCCAATTTTAAGTGAGTCAACATCTGTGAAGTTTTTAGATCACTGCTTATACACTACAGATGTTCTTATGAAGGTCTTCAGTCAAAATGAATGTCATTTGGTGGATCAGATACTTTTCCATCAGGAAGGAGAAATTAATTGCTCAAGGTCAAAGACCTAATCATACTGAGGACTTGATAGTTTAAAAGCAAGGACGATAAATCAAAGTGATAAAAACCTAAGAATCCCAGAGACTTCGGAGTCATGGGAAAAGCGGTTTTCCAATGAGGATTCATGCCACCTGGCTATTGACATATTTTTACATCTATCTCTTTTCGGCTTTATTTTATTGATAATACAAAATCAAATTCCAGAACTGTCAACCAATGTGCTTGTATGCCTATCCATTCATCTGCGGAACTACTGACCTTCATAATACAGATAAGCACATCAGTTGTCAGGTTTCTAGTCTCATTAGAATTTGTATTGTTATTTAGTCTTTCTTCGCATTATGAGAGTTAAATTCCATACCCATTATTCCCTTTCCATACTCTTTTCAACATAACTTTCTATTAAAAACACTTCAGCTGATTTCCATTTTATCTGCATGACAGAAAAGCCACAACTTTCTCTTTCTATTTTCCTTAGCTGTGGGTTTATGTCTTAAGTAAACTGTTATTACTGAAAAGCCCAAACAAAGCTTTTAGCCATGGCTGTCAAAAAACTTTTAAATTGGTTTTGTACCTGTCGCAGCTTTGCTTTGGTGCTGTCATTATAATTAGGCTGTTTTTTGTCTGAATGTCTACATATCTCTGTTGGTACAGAGTCATTAAAATAATCACTTACAATGGGTTTTGATACACTATAATCACCATTGCTTAGTTGGCTTTCTCTGAAGTAATAACTTTCAAACATTAAGAATGAAGGTGATAAATATGTAAAGCAGCTAA